CGAAAATGTTATTCTAAATTTGACAGATTTTTGGCTTGACTTAAAACTCTTTTATAACTCATTCAGTATTTGCCACGAGTCCCAGCTACTTCCTCTTGCCGTGGGCAGACTCTCTAGCAATGAAGAGTAAGTACGTTGTGTGTGGGGAGGGGAGGGGACGGCGGAACGACGACCGGCCAAATGCAGGCTGACGTCCACCCCGGGATGCCACACACTCACTGAGCTCGTGGGGTGTCCTGCTCTCATGTGCTGTTCTGCAGTCTCGCAAAGATTAGGGGGAATCATAAGAATGAGGGGGCTTGCTTCCACTTCTAGCTGAATAGGGCTGGAGATGGGATCGTGTGTGGTGTGTGGAGTTCTGTGCTCGGTGGTGATAAGGATGAGAGACCCCACGGGGGCTTACGCGGAAGGCTCTCCTTACAGACTTACCCAGGTCAGACGACTTTCAACCAGCCACTGTCCCCCAAGCCCTAGCTTGTCATGGCCTGGCCAAAGACTCCTTCAATTCCCTATGGCTCTCTCTGCCCGTACCTCAGGCAGCAGTCGGTGAAGGCAGATTCCTCCTAGAGGGATACCCGGTGAGCAGAACAGGCCGGAGGAGGGAAGATGGGTTCTGGCCTTTTCACTCAGCAACTTCACACACAGGATGTTCTTTGGTGGATTTTCTGTACTTTGATTATTAGCTCTCTTCCCCCATGCCTCCTCCCCTCCTTCCTTCCCTCTCTTTCTTTTTCTTAAGATTTTATTTTTAAGTAATCTCTACACCAAGGTGGAGCTCAAACTTACAACCCTAAGATCAAGAGTCTCATGCTAGAGTCGCTGAGTCAGCCAGGAGCCCCAGCTGGGTCACTTTCTCACAGGTGAGCCGGACTTCCCTATCCTGGCTTAGGTGGCCTGTCAGGGAAAGGGTCACAGCGGAGGGTCAGAGAGACCCGACACTGAGGACTCCAGAAGCAGACAGCGTAAGCTGCAAAAGAGGGGCAGAGACACCCCGACTTCTAAGCACCGTCTAGAGCAGAGGCCTGGGCATCCTGGAGAGGACCCACAACACGGTGCTTATTTAACTCTAACCTAGAAACGTTAAGAGGAACATTAAATGAGCACAGGCGGCTACCTGGTGTCACACCAGCTCTGATGTGTTGGGGATCAGAACTGCTCTACAGGAGGCCTCAGCAGCAGGGACAGGAGGCCCAGTGATTTCTACCGAACCAGATAAAGCCGGAGAGGAGCGAGCCTATGGAGCATGAGGAGAGGTGGGGTGTGGGGGCTGACTTTCCCTCAGCAGCATGTTCATAGCATCACACAGAGCATTTGAGCCAGAGGGGCCCTGTAGGGATTAAGACAGTCCTCTTCCACACTGCAAAGCTGGGCACAAGACATGGTCATCCCCTGGGACACTCTGGAAAACACAGGATACCTGAGGAGGCGGGGTCAGGAATGGGGCCCTTAGGAGGTTCTGGGCCAGGATCAGAGGGAGGGCAAGGCTCGAAGGAGCACGGTTCCAGGAGGCGCCAAGCACTCTGGCCCGTGGAGTGAGAGAATTTCAGAGCAAGGAAAGACTGTGGGGTCGCCCGGTCCCACTGGCCTCACTGGGCCCCAGCTGAAGGCCACAGAGAGGGAGGGTCTGGGGAAGAAAGCACAGAAGTCTCAGCTTCTTCACTACACAATTCTAGCCTGATGCCAAGCACACAGGGGGTCTTAATGGCATGTTTTAAAAAAGACTTTCCTTGGGGCGCCTGGGTGGCTCAGTGGGTTAAAGCCTCTGCCTTCGGCTCGGGTCATGATCTCAGGGTCCTGAGATCGAGCCCCACATCGGGCTCTCTGCTCGGCGGAGAGCCTGCTTCCCTCTCTCTCTCTCTCTGCCTGCCTCTCTGCCTACTTGTGATCTCTGTCTGTCAAAAAAAAAAAAAAAATCTTAAAAAAAAAAAAAGACTTTCCTTATATACTTCTGTAGGTGGGGTCACAGATGCCGCCCTTCACCCCCACCCCCAGACCACGAGGCCTGCTCCTCCTCCTTCCTTCTCATTTTCTCTGGAGCCAGGCTGCCTGCGTCCCAGCCCTCCCATTAACCACTTGAACTTTGCTTGAGCAAAGTGACTTAACCTCTGCGTGCTTCTTAGCTTCCTAATAATAGAAGCTATCTGAGTTGTCAGGAGCCTGAAAGAGTACAGGTCAACCCCTTCCGCGAGCCTGGCCCAGAGGCGACACTCCAGTGTTCCTTGCAGTGGCCGTCTTGCTACTGTCATCGGGCTCATTCATGCCCTGAGGCCTTCTTTTCCTGCCTCAGCTCTACGGGCCTTTATTTATTTGTCCACCTCTTCAGGTCTGCCTGGAACAGGTATTGGACGGAAAGATAATGTACTGGGTAAGAGAGAGAAAACCTTGAGCCATTTGTAATAGGAAAAGCATGGGCTGACTGCCCCTCAGGACAATGTGACATGGGAGTTGCACAAGTGGCAGTGACAAGGGGCCTCTGTGCAGATAAGCCCTGATTTCATAAATGAGGAAGCCCAGGGCCCACAGCTGAGGACGCTGAGGCTTCCTCGATCTTCCTAGGAGCACCCCTGGGCCCTGTGTGATGAGGGACGGATGTGCAAGTCTGAAAGCCCTAAAGGGTCTACAAAGGAAATTCAGGTGTTTTAGACACACACACACACACACACACACACACACACACACACACACGGTAGTTAACTGCACAGTAGCCTGGCTCTGGACCCTGTCCGTGCAGCAGCCACAGGTGGCATTTTAACCCCTCTGCCCTCTCATGGGGGTTTGCTGTTCGAAGGGACTCCGTCTCCGAGGGCAGAATACCAGGCATTGTGGAAGGTGGTCAAGGAGACACTCCACGGTTACTCTGATCAGACCACATCGGGGACTTGTCCCCCCCAGTAAAGCTGCCGCGGAGCAGGTGGAGGGGCTGGGAGAACCACCCCTGAGGCAGCCATGGGGTAGGCTCCATTCTCAGGGATGGCCTTCCTTCGCTCTCCTTCTGCTCTTGTTAGGGCAGCTCAGGGGGAAGGCCTTCAGCCTGTCAACCCAGAAATCTGCCCAGGCAGGAGTGAGAAGTGGGCAAGTCCCCTCCCGACATCTTTGTCACAGCACTTCCAGGAGTCTTGGTACCCTAAGCCCGACCCATCCCCTCTGCTGGCCTTCAGGGATGCATCTGACTTTGACCTGTTCTGTTCCCACCTTCTCTCTCATTGTACTTTGACAGGAAAAGTAGGTGATACTTCGTGTTCTCCTATGTTGGCGAGGGAAGCCTGGGGAGGGCACGCTCCTTTCCAGCCATGCCCATCTTCGCAGACATTTTCTCCCGCGGCACCTTCCGGAGCCTACCATCTTCAACGCGGCAGCAAGGTCCTCGTGGGACCGCGTGGCCCCTCGTCCAGTCTGGGCAGGCAGCGCACTCACTTGGCTGGCCTTCCCTTCTTGCCTCGGCCTTCCTGAGAGCCCGTCCCCTCCCCCACAGCGGAGTCTGAGAATCCTACTTCCGGGGGACAGAGCGGGGCTTCCAGGGAATACCAACAGCTACTCGATGAAATCCGACCCTGGGGAAGGGTTATTACTCATCTCTCGCTTCCGGAGCCCCAACCTTAGAAGTCTCCCGCCTGAATTCCCCAGGGCCCACGAGCTTTGAGAGCTGCCCCCGCCCAGCACCAGCTGCAGGCGGGGAGCCGGCCTGCTTCCTGCTCGGACCCCAGGGCACCCGGAGTGCAAGAAGCATGACGGGAACAGGGAAGAGCTCGCTCAAAGCCCGGGTGGGAGCAGGCTGGGAGTAGCCAAGTGGCTGCTGTCCAAAGAGGAGAATCACCAAGATGACCAGATGGGCTGGAGTGGGAGGAGAGGACTGGATTCCATTTCCTACCACGTTCCTGATGAGCTCCACAGTCATACCTTCTGTCCTTTCCATTCTTCTTCCTCCCTTTTGTTTTCCAGATTTGGGAGTCATATTTCCTCTCCAAACCGCAGTTCTTCGATTTTTGTGTTTTTGGCATTTCTTCTTTCCAGATGGACTCCTCGGTTGGCCTCATCTGCTTTCCCTGGTTGGCTCAGCCCTAACTGGAGTTGTGGTCACCACCTGTGCTGCTGTGCCCTCAGTTCCAAAGCCAAGGCGGCTCTGATTCAGTATTCTGGAGTGATGAAAATGCCAGGAGTTCTTTTTTTTTTTTTTTTTTTAAAGTTCAGAATTCACTCAAATTCCTATCTGCCTCCCCTCTGGCTTTTCTCTGATTTGTGACATGGTTTTGCAAATCATTGAACATGTACCTTAGGACATGGAGGGCATCCTACCAAGCAGTGAGCAGGTGTGTGTGATTGTGTCATTTATTTTAACACGGAGAGGAAGGGCCGCCTTGGGGAGCCATCCGTGTTTCGCACGGCCCTGCAGGCCTCCTTGAACCTTGGCTCCTTGCCCCCCACTTCGCCTTCCTCTCTCTGCAGTGAACTGCTTTACAAGATTTTTGAAGGTGACATGCTCAGTCTCCTGTCCCCTTGCCTTCGTCTAGATAGCTACAGCTCCTTTAGCCTGGAATGTGCTTCCTACTTGCTCTTAGTCTCAGGACTCAGCCAGAACTGGCCTCCTCCGAGCATGAGTGCCCTCCTCGGTGTCCAGAACGCACTGCTCTGGTAAGCCTAGACAGCACAGTCCCCGGGGCTCTGCTCACTCCTGCGTCCCCTGCCCCGCCCGGACGGAAAACCCTGAGTACAGCTCTGCGATCCCGTCCTCAGCCCTTTATACACAGCAGAGCACCCAGCACCCCGCGGGACGATGCAAGGTAGGCGAGGGTCAGGGAAGTAGTGCACAGAAGCACAGGCTTCCTTGGTTTTACAGGATGGGTGCGCCTTATACACCTCCCATCCCCGAGGCCCACTGGTCTGCTCTCTTCCCTCAGAGGGGCTGCCTCCCCAGTCCCGGGCAGTCACCTGCCCCCACACCCCAAAGAGTCCGCCACCGACTATCCTTCAGACGCTTGAGTGGAAGTGACCAAGACTGGTACCTGAGCTTGTCTGCGATGAAGATGACCCTCCTTTCCAGAAGCAGGGAGGCAAAAACACAGAGCAGGTGGCGGACACTGAGAGAGGAGAAGAGAGACTCAAAGTCCACATGCTCGAGCCGGGAGTCCAGCGGGCGGCACAGTTCAATCACCTGCCGGGGAACAGGAGCAGCCGTGAGGCGGGGTCACGCCGCAGGCTCAGAGGTCCTCTGCAGGGCTGAGCCATTCGCAGGGGAAAAGGGAAAGAAAACGAGGAAGGCAAAAGTGACGGGAAAAGAAAGATCCTGGGAGACTGAGGGAGCAGGTACACTTGGTACGAATTCCGTCGCAAAGTCAAGTGTGAGGAAAGTTCAGAGGAAGGTGGGGACACAGGATGGCGGAATCGATGGCCCATGGCCCCAAATGCTTGGAGGCTCTGCCTGCCAATGACACGTTTCTACCATCCCCCTCCCTGGGAGATCCATGACTGCTGATGTCCTATGACTTGGAGTCCCATAGGAAAGTGTCTCTGCCTCACAAGGGAACATTAACTGCTGGAATGGAGTCGCAGGCTCGCGCAGAAGGACCACCAGAGCCAAGCAGCAGCTTCAGGACTCACCTCCTCTGGAAGGCATTTCTCAGTAAGCCCAACCCCATGCCAATCCCTTATGATGTATTTACAGCTTGTATGCTTGGTGGGCACATCTTCTCATTCTGTATTTGTCGAAATGTTCCTGAATTCATCTCGAGTCACTACTCATGTGTGTGTTTTTCTCTTTAAATAGCTGTCTCCTTCACAGTGAGCAGAAACTGATGTTTTGCTCTGAGCATGGCACCTGCCCGGTGCTGTCCCCATAGTGGGGTTCACTCATGTTAACATCCTTATGGCCAATCCACCATCTGCTATGGGATAATATAGGGTTTTCTAGCAACACGGAGAATACTTCCCTCTGTTCTGGGAAACTGAGCTGTTCCAGAAGACTCCAGACCTATCTTTATCCCTCCCCTGTCTCCAGAGGTGACCAGCTTTTTCAAGGGCTTTTGGAACTACAGACTCAAGTCTGAATGGGATCTGCCTAGTTATATCCACAGAGCCATATAAAGGGAATGGGAAGGATGAAAATAAAGTCCTGCATTAAATTCCAACCCAGCCAAGAAAAGGGACATACCTCAAAGTCCTAGACAGGTGAATAAAAAGTAGTACATAAGCTTGTCTTCCCAGAAGATAATCTGTTTTACATTATAAGTTATGGAGGTGATGGAGACCAAAAATATAGTTTCAAATACAACCTATGAGTGTAACGGGCTAGTAAGAGAAACTAAGGATGTTCATACAGGTCCCTAACCTGTAAGGCCAAGGTCAGGCAAAGAAATACCATGTACTGCCGTGGCATAGCTCTAGGACTGAATCCCGGAATGGAGGGACAGGACTTCGGGTGGATTTTCCTAGGCCTGAAATCACATTCACTGATGTGACAGCCCACTGGAAGCTGGCCCCTTGGTCAGCCGGAGGAGCTTTGTCTCCTCTAGCAGACAGTAGGAATCTGATGACTTACTTCAGTTCCTGATCCTGGCAAGAAGTTCTTGACAACGATGGTTTTGCCCAGTGCTGGGAAAGGGGCCTCCATGACACTCCTCATGAGGGGCTGTACCAGGGCAGGAGAGATGCCTCGCCGTTTTTCCACCTCATCCAAGATCTGCAAGGGTCACAAAAGAGCTTAGCTGTCCTGATGTCAGGGCACCAAGGCATCCCTCTGCTCTCAATGAAATGGGCCTGCCACCGTGACGGACGCATTATGGGGAAGGCCTGCTGTCTGCATCAGGCCAAACTTAAAGTGTCTTTCAACCTGTATGTTATTGCCTCAAATCTCCTCTCTGTGCACCCACTCCTTTGCCATTATCTTTGCAGTTCTTCCCACTGAAGTGGTATAGTTTCTTGACCCCCTTGACTTCTGATTTGGCCAGGTAACTTACTGGGCCAATACATGCATTATCAATGGGAGCAATATTGCCCCCAGGGGGATAAAAATTGGTTCTTGGGGGTGGTGCTGAAAAAAACTTAGGTATTATAATGGTTTGTAGCCCTTTAAAGGCCCACAGTACCTAAAAAGATCTCCAGTGTATCTGTGGAGTTACAATTTCTCTGAGGGTACCATTAGAGAAGAGCAAACCCAAACCACAATGAGAAACCACTTCACACCCACGAAGGGGTGTGTAACCAAAAGATCGACAACAGCGAGTGTTGGTGATAAAGTGGAGAAACCGGAACCCTTGTGTACTGCTGGGGAAGACTGAACTAGCGACGCCCCTTGGCTAAGCAGTCTGGCAGTACCTTCAGAGGGTAAAGAGAACGCTCCTAGGTGACTTAGCAACTACACTTCTGAACCAACAGAAACGAAAACACGTTCACACAAAAACTAGGACATTGGCGGCGCAGTCAGTTGAGCATCTGACTCTTCGTTTTAGCTCAGGTCAGGATCTCAGTGTTGTGAGATCGAGCCCCGTGTTGGCGAGCTCACAACCAGCCTACAGTATGCTTAAGATTCTCCCTCTCTCTCCCTCTGCCCCACCCCCATGTGCACGTGCACTCTCTCTCTCAGATAAATAAATGATTAAAAAAAAAAAGAAACCCAAATGGGACGCCTGAGTGGCTCAGTGTATAAAGTGTCTGCCTTCAGCTCGGGTCATGACCTGGGGTCTTGGGATCGAGTCCCACACTGGGCTCCCCGCTCAGCAGAGAGTCTGCTTCTCCCTTTGCCTGCTGCTCCCCCTGCTGTGCTCGCTCTCTCTGACAAATAAATAAAATCTTAAAAAAAAAAAACAACCCTCTGGGCGCCTGGGTGGCTCAGTGGGTTAAAGCCTCTGCCTTCGGCTCAGGTCATGATCCCAGGGTCCTGGGATCGAGTGCCGCATCTGGCTCTCTGCTCAGCGGGGAGTCTGCTTCCCCCTCTCTATTTCTGCCTGCCTCTCTGCCTACTTGTGATCTCTGTCTGTCAAATAAATAAATAAAATCTTTAAAAGAAAAAACAAAACAAAACAAAACAAAAAAAAAAACCCCAAACCCAAAACTAGTGCATTAATGTTCACAGCAGAATTATTCCTAATAGTCAAAAGGAGGATGTAACCAAAATGTCCATCAATTGATGAATGGATAAACAAAATGTGATATTCCAATGTAGACCATAATCAGCCATAAAAAGGAATGAGATACTGATTCATGCTATAACATGGATGAACCCTGAAAAGATTAGGCTAAGTCAAAGATACCAGTCACAAAAGGCCACTTATTGTTTGATTCCATTTGGATAAAATGTCCAGAATAGGTATATCCATAGAGACAGACAGCAGATGGATGGTTAAGAGGGTTGGGAAGTGACTTCTCATGGGAACAGGCATTGCTTGCCTGTAATAAAAATGTCCTATAAATGGGGTTATGAATACACAATTGTGTGGATATGCTAAAAGCCACTGAATCCTAGATTTTATTTATTTATTTATTTATTTTTAAAGATTTTATTTATTTATTTGACAGACGGAGATCACAAGTAGGCAGAGAGGCAGGCAGAGAGAGAGGAGGAAGCAGGCTCCCTGCTGAGCAGAGAGCCCGATGTGGGGCTCGATCCCAGGACCCTGGGATCATGACCTGAGCCGAAGGCAGAGGCTTTAACCCACCGAGCCACCCAGGCGCCCCCT